TCTCTCGCAACTCGGAAGATTTGTCCAAGAAGTATCCCGACGTGCTTGCGAAACTCAACACATGGGTGAAGGACGGTGTTACTAGCTTTGTCCTCGACTGTGAAACCGTTGCCTGGGACACAGTAAATAAGAAGGTTTTGCCGTTCCAGCAGCTTATGACTCGCAAGAGGAAGGATGTTAAAGCGGAGGATGTTAAAGTCAAAGTTTGCGTTTTCGCCTTCGACCTGCTGTTCTTGAACGGAGAGGTATGACGTCTGTCCTTCCATTGTTCAAGCCCAAGACACTGACGCAAAACAATAGCCTACAGTGAAAAAGAGCCTGCGAGAGCGTCGCGAGCTTCTCCATGAGTCATTTGAAACTGTTGAAGGCGAGTTCCAGTTTGCGCAGTATGGGAACACCAACGTTGTGGATGAGATCCAGAATCTACTTGATGAAAGTGTAAAGGCCTCGTGTGAAGGGTTGATGGTGAAGATGTTGGACACTGAAGAGAGTGGCTATGAACCAAGCAAGCGGAGCCGCAACTGGCTCAAGGTACGCCAAATAGAGCTGAACCTGACTCGTGTCTGTTACTAACTACGACATTAGGTGAAAAAGGATTACCTCGCCGGGGTGGGCGACTCCCTGGATCTCGTTGTTTTGGGTGCATATCACGGACGAGGCAAGCGTACATCAGTGTACGGTGCCTTCCTCTTGGCTGCTTACAACACGAGCACGCAGACCTACGAGACGGTCTGCAACATTGGCACAGGTTTCTCGGAGGCTGACTTGGAAGAGCTTCATAAACAACTTTCTCCTATCGTCATTGATCGGCCGAAGCCGTTCTACTCCCATTCAACTGTCCCCAAAGATCAACCGGATGTGTGGTTCGAGCCGCGCTTTGTCTGGGAGGTCAAGACTGCCGATCTAACACTGAGTCCACGCTATAAGGCTGCAGCTGACGAGTTCGAGGGAACGACTGGAGGAGGCAAGGGAATCTCTCTTCGATTCCCACGATTCATCAAAGGCCGTGACGATAAAAAGCCCGATGAGGCGACGACGACTCGCGCAGTGGCAGAGATGTACCGCAAGCAAGAGGCGGTGCAAAAGGAAAATGCTAAGAAGGGAGTGGATGATGATTTTGAGTACTAAGCCGAGCAATCTGGCTGTGCTGTTTATTACGTACATACATACTGGAAGCCCAGGTGCTGCGATTAATAGTCCCAGCCCGTTGATTAATCAACATAGATAATGAACTATGAGATGTCCGATGTCTGATGTCTGACCTGTCGGTTACACTCGCATCGTACTCGACATCTCCTCATGAGCCAAAAACTTGAGAATATTAGCAATCAGACCATGTGAATGACAGCAATGCAAGACACTTAAGGGTGCCAAGCAGTAGTCGGGAATGTGTATCAACTTGGCATTGCAACCCAAGACTTGCAGCCCGCCCTTGCTTGTCCACTTTTTTGTTGCTGCTTATCCTGATCAGGCAGGTCCCTAACTGACTTCCTTATTTCATCATCGCACTCTCCAATTTACTCACTTTCTCCTCTCGCCTCTCTCCTCGCCTTCTCGGCCTGGTCTTCTTGACCTCATAAATAGGTCCCTCCCTCTCACTGAGTCTCCCGGGTTTGTGTTCTGTTCAACGTGAACCCTCTCCCGGGAACCTGGATTCCGACCTGTTTGCAATTGTTCAACAACGTCATGATGGGAGCTCTTCGATGGCTCTCCATTCTCGCCGCGGTTTCGGCGGCTTCAGCACTGACCCCCGAGTACGTAACACTTGTGCAATAACAATCGTATTGTTGCTGATGTCTCATTTCCTGTAGGCAACTGATTAGTGCTCCGCGGAGAGACGAAGTCATTCCCAATCCATCTGGAGTATGTCAATTGATCCGATCATAGAACCGTAGAAGACTGACAACGCTAGGCTCTCGGTCTCTTCTCCGTCTCCCAGTACTCCTTTGAAACCCATTCCGAAGGCTCATGGTGGAGCCTGATTGACCTGAAGTCTGGTGAGACCAGCACTCTCACTAATGACAGTAATGTCTCCGAAATCATCTGGCTTGGCACGGATGACTCCACTGTTCTCTACATCAACAGTACCAACGCAGACATCCCCGGTGGTGTTGAGCTGTGGATCTCAGATATCGCGAACTTCCAGAACGGGCAAGTCCATACTGCTCCGTTCACTGCTAATGAATGTATCTGACAATGACAAGCAGATACAAGGCAGCCTCCCTGCCAGCGAACTTCCTCGGTCTCAAGACAGCTGTCACGGACTCGGGTGATGTACGATTCATTCTTCGTGGTAAGGCTTATGGCAACGGCACGGCCTACAATGAGAAGCTAGCCGAGAAGTCCCTAAGCTCCGCTCGCATCTATGACAGCCTCTATATTCGTCACTGGAATACGTACCTTACCCCGCCCTCTCATGCTGTGTTCTCAGGCACATTGAGCAGCTCGGCTAGCAGTAGTGGCACGGGTCGTTATGCTTCAGAAGGTGGTCTTACGAACCTGGTGTCCCCCATCAAGAATGCTGAGAGCCCTTATCCTCCCTTTGGAGGAAGCTCGGACTATGATCTCTCGCCCGACGGCAACTGGGTAGCGTTCAAAAGCAAGGCCCCAGAGCTACCTCGTGCCAACCTTACAACCTCCTACATCTATCTTGTGCCCCATGATGGTTCGAAGAAGGCTGTTGCAATCAATGGACCCAAGAGTGCCGTCACTCCTGCTGGGGTTCAAGGAGATTCTAGCAACCCTGTCTTCTCTCCAAACAGTGACAAACTTGCATACTTCCAGATGAAAGACAGACAGTACGAGTCCGACAGGCGCACTTTGTACGTCTACACCATTAGTGCTAATGAGTCTATCGCCACACTTGCCAAGAACTGGGATCGATCGCCGGACACAGTAGCTTGGGTCGATTCAGACAATCTTGTCGTTACAAGTGAGGATTATGGCCGAACCAGGCTATTCTCTGTTCCAGCGGATGCAGGAGATGACTTCAAGCCGAAGAATTTCACCGACGGTGGCTCTGTGGCGGCGTATTATGTCCTGCCGGATTCCACTATCCTTGTCACCGGAAAGGCCATTTGGACTAGTTGGGCTATTTATACAGCTAGTCCCGACCAGAGGGTCATCAAGACACTGGCATCAGCCAACGAGATTGACCCCGAGCTTGCTGGATTGAGCTCCTCTGATATTGATGAGTTCTACTACCAAGGTAACTGGACCGAGGTAAGTCTAGTATTTAGTATATCTTGCCTTTCCTCACTGGGTAGGTACTTATCGAATCTCAGATTCATTCCTGGATCATCTATCCGGAGGGTTTCGACAAGAGCAAAACCTATCCCTTCGTTTTATACATCCACGGTGGACCCCAAGGCTCATGGGCCGACTCCTGGAGCACGCGCTGGAATCCCAAAGTCTTCGCAGATCAGGGCTACGTAGTCATCGCTCCGAATCCAACAGGCAGTACTGGCTTCGGAGATGCCCTTACTGATGCCATCGCAAATGACTGGGGTATGAACACTTCCTCTATCCTTGGAATATCACCATGCTGACCATACTTCAAGGAGGCGCTCCCTACGACGACCTCGTGAAAGCCTGGCAGCACGTCCATGACAACCTCGATTTCATCGACACAGACCACGGCGTCGCCGCCGGCGCCAGCTACGGCGGATTCATGGTCAATTGGATCCAGGGCTCGGATCTAGGCCGCAAGCTCAAGGCGCTCGTCTCTCACGATGGAACATTCGTTGCCGATGCAAAGATCGCCACCGACGAGCTGTGGTTCATTGAACATGACGTGCGCTCCCCTATTCTCCTTCTGTCATAGCTCACATACACCCTCTATTCTCATTACACCTCCCCCCTCCGATGACAACCCTAACTAACGGCATGCAACATGCAACAGTTCAACGGCACCTTCTGGGCCAACCGCGACAACTACCGCCGCTTCGACCCCTCCGCCCCGGAACGGATCCTGCAGTTCTCGACCCCGCAACTCGTCGTCCACAGCGACAAGGACTACCGCTTGGACGTCGCCGAGGGCATCGCCCTGTTCAATGTTCTCCAAGAACGCGGCGTGCCGAGTCGGTTCTTGAACTTCCCGGATGAGGATCACTGGTGCGTTGGCCCTTTCAGCTCTCCTTGTTTCTTCTTCGAATTTGTTGTACGACAGCGCGAACTAATCAGGCAAACTATAGGGTCACCAACCAGGAGAACAGCCTCGTCTGGCATCAGCAGGTCCTCGGCTGGTTGAACCGGTACTCCGGCGTGGAGGAGTCGAACCCGGACGCCGTCCGGTTGGAGGATACGGTGGTTCCGGTGGTGGATTTTGATTCTTGATTTCTGGGTCGATGGGCTTCGATCCCTTGTATCTACTGTCGCCATGCTGGCAAAGACACAGATTTCAATATACCTGATCGAGAAATCTAGGTCTCATTTATGCATTCGTGCGACTACCTGCCGGAGGGGGGGGGGAAGAGGGTGGTAAATTGGTTTGTAGACTGTTCTTCCTGCTGCATACTCCATCTCAATATCGCCATTTTCATACGTGCTGCGAATAAGGTTTTTCAATCATATATCAATTTATCATCACTACGGACGGCGGTATAGCAAAGTATGGTATCAACAATCAGACAGCAGAAAAGAAACAACGACCGAACAACAAAACAGGCGCATGCACCGACGAATGCCAGGGGGCTGGAAAGCATTTCCTTTTAGAACAAACACACATGACATAGGTGTATAAACTTCATCAGCCAATCGCTGACTCACACTTGCAGGTAAATCGACACGGGACACGGGATTCTTTTTAGTCCTCTTCCCACGCAAACAAACCCAACAGCCAGAACAACTAAGACTCGCCGAAAGAAAAAAAAATAAAGCCATCATGATATATAACCTCTTCATCGTCGTCATCATCCTAATTAACGAGAGAAGAACATCAAAACTACTGAAGCCAAAATCCTCAGAGCCAGAGAGTGTTTCGCCCAACCTCAGAAAGCAGACTACAACTCCCCACCGTGGGGAGGAGGGACATCGAGACCCCCGGGCCCATCCTTGGCCAAGAACCCTTGCTGCCGGACGCGGAGCCCGAAGTTGACCATGACGATGGCCACCAGGCCCATCCCGACGACGGTGGGGCCCCACTTCTCGTAGTACACGCGCTTGACGTCGCGGCGCTTGCGGATCTTGTCGACGCGCCAGATGTACAGCACCAGACTATAAATCAAAGACAGCGAAGCCAAAATGGTGAACGCCCACGCGGAGGCGAAGGTGATGTAGTCGTCGCCGAAATTGAGGAGGGTGGCGGCGATGGTTGCGAGGAGGATGGAGAACTCGAGCCACGAAAGGAAGGTGCGCTCGGCGGCGAAGTAGACTTTGGGCTCGACGCGGACGGGGACGTGGATTCCTGGGACCTGGGTTAGGATCTTGGTTCGTGTGTGGGATGAAATGGTTCAGAACGTGAAAAGGGCGCAAGACTCACGTTTGCCTTTGGGAGCGTGGAATCGCTTGACGGTACGCTTGTTGCCGATGACGGCGATTCCGCTCTGCTCGGGTGCGGGGAGACTGGTGGGTGTAGGTCGGGGGATGAGGGATTTGAGCACGTGGATCAAGATAGAGCCGGCGTGCTCGGTGTAGTATTTGGCCAGCTGCTTGTAGTAGTATGTGCCTCCGACCCGACGCGCTTCTTCCAATTCATCCGAATCAATGGAAGATTCTTGGTCCGAGTCGTACAGCGGATAATCCTCGTCGCCCGGAAGCGGTAGAGCGGCGATGCGTTCCTCAATGTCTAGCGCATTGCCATCTGAGTCTGCGAATAGCGCGTGGTGATCAGCATCGATAGCCTCCACTCGGTGCACACCATTCGGCCACTGGCCTGCGCTCTCATCCTCATCCTCCGAGATCTCATCTTCCGGAGTTTCTGTCGCGGATAATGAGGTGCTGGGCAACGGACGCGTGATTCCGAACTGGCGGGTGGCTGGCTTGCGGATGTCGACGTCCATCTGCGGCATCCAGAATGGCAGGAGGTTGATACGGTCCGGGAATAGCGTGGCCGTGCCGTGAATAAATTTACTGTACTTGGGAACGGCCTCAACCAGATGGCTAGCTGTTAGCTCCCTGATCCACTTGGGTGGCTCCTGGCCCGCCTGTGTTTGGAGCTTGACTTCAAGGACGGCATAAGGGAAACGCTCCACGTCATCGGGGGGCAATTGTGAGAACGGATAATCAACACCGATGTCCATGCGACGCCAATTGTCGCCAGCTCTGCGGCGACCGTCCAGGTTGTCCTCTCGAACCATTGTCAACTCAGTATCAAGAGAGATACGCACACGAGCGTCTCCGGGAAGCTGGAAGGCTGTGCGGTGGTAGAACGACCGGGTGACTGGTACTAGTCGCCGTGTGATGACTCGATACTGAATTTCCCGCGCCAGTTGCTCGAGGTTGGCGATTTCCTCTTCGCTCTTCTTGCCTTCCCTGCGCATCTTCTCGAAGATTTGTTCCACCGTCAAGCGACCAGCCAGGTAGTCGTTGACATGCTTCTCTTTCAGCGAGAAACGTGCCTTGACCGACTTCTCTCCAGTCCAATCCTCTCGGTGGGTCTTGCGCTCGACGAATATTTGATCGCTCTCCATGCCACCGTACCAACGCAATCGGATAGCCTCCGCGCCTTCGGTCTTCTTCAGGCGACCTTGGTATAGTTCCCAGGTATCAGTGTTGTCGTAGTAAATAGAGGAAATAGCAGCGTCCTTCTCCTCGAACTCTTTGCTTGGGTTGAAGACTAGAACGGGAAGGTGCTATTTCATCCATTAGCACACGAGGGACCTAACGGGTCACGGTGAGCCGCTTACCTTGAGAATTATTAATTTGAGCTCCGTGATGTTGTCTGGGTGTACCCAATACTTGGTAGTTTGGCGGACAAAGTTCTGCTGGCTTCCACCGGCGGCAGAATCACCCTTAACGGGGTTACCTTTGGTCCGCACAAGGTCGTAGAGCTTGGACAATTTAACCACGAGCGCATCATAGTTATCGTTAAAAAATGGCTTAGCGTTGAGACGCGCAGCGAATACTGGCTTCAGATGCCACCCCGTTTGTTTCTGCATGTAGCCGTTAGCGGGCGCGCAAATCTCAAACAGTCACCATTCTGTGGATCCTGTCATTCCGGTCTTGATAGAAAAAAACACTCACATCATGCTTCTTGATGATTTTCTGAAATCCCGTGTAGTTCAATTGCGTAAACTTGGCCAGGTCATGTACGTCGGCGATGATGTCGCTCAAGGCCTGCTCGAGCACCAAGAAATCCTCGTCCGAGGGCGGATCGCGGTTGGGTCGGTTGTGGGAGACACTGTCGGACCGGGCACTGGTGGCACTCTCCAGGCGCGACACCACATCACTGACCTCCTGTTCGCTCGCCTGAATGCGACGAGCGATCTCGGCGCTCTTGATCCGCTGAAAGTTGAAGACCTTGTCCAATTCGCTCTCCAGCAGCGTCACGAAGTGCTTCTCGTCATCTTCCGACCAGGGCTGACGATCGGGGCTGGCATTTTCGGGGGTGGGCTCCGTGATATATCCGGTCTTCAGAGCTTTCTTCAATTCTTCATAGGCGATGTAGTACCAGTAGTACTCCTTGACCATGGACGACCGGAGGTGTTCCCCGAACCTGGAGAGAAGGGCGGAATTGTGAGTGGAGGACTTTCAATCGTCGAAGGAGCAATTGGGGTGGACCAACCTCATGCTGAAATATCGTTGACGAGTCGCGCAGATAGCCGAGTATGATGGGTAGATTCGAAGGGTGAGAATAGGTAGAGTAGAGGAAGAGAATGGGGAAGGCAAGTGTCAGGTAAAGAACATTATGGGGACGCAGGGGGGGGGGGGGGGGTAAGCGGGAAGGCGGAGGAAACGTTGGAAGCGAGACTGAACGAAGAAGGAATAGGCAGGTCAACTGAGAGGGGATAAAAATTCAATGGAGAAGCTGATAGATGACGACTAGTTTCAGAAGAAGCGACGAGAATGGGGAACTTTTTACTTTTTTCTCAGTGATGAGTGAAGGACAGGATAGAGGGGAGAGGAGCTATGATGGATAGCTTCGAGGTTCTGGCCACCATGGATGGGGGGAGGCCCAGAAACGACGTCAACCCGTGACTGCAATCGATAACACGGCTCCATTAGTGGTCCGGGCGTGTCTTATTCATCACCATCTAGCCCTCGAAGGGCAACAAAGACCACGGTGACCACGGTAAATTGGCCACAATAATCGACTGAATTGGTGTTGTTTGGATTGTCCGGTAAACTAGGTAAGGAACTAAAAACCAACTAGGTAAAGCATTGGAGAGGCGAGTATAGTGTCAAATTGTCAAATGGTTTGCTCATGGATTGTCAGCCAGTCGATTTAGCAGGTGCTGCTCTAATCAGGGCGCTTTGCTGCCTTAGGCTTAGCCGGAGTCGACAGGAGGTTTGCAGCTTTTCTCCACCCGCTGCCGCACTGCTGCGATCGTCCCCCGGCTGTAATCTTGCCTTCCTGTTCTCTTTCTTTTTTTTTTTTTTTTTTTTTTCTCTTTTCGCTGTTGGTATGATGGGTATAATACTGTCTCTTATTGTAACAGTCAGTCCGGCAGATAACTCGACTACCCTCCTTCCCGTAGGCATCGAGGAACCCTCCTGCGTCAACCGAGTCCATTCGGAAGGCGCAAAACACCGCCTGCCCTGGGGTTCTGTTCTATCTTCTCAGAATAGCCGAGCACTATATATGTTGACTCACCTGGATCAATCAAAGGTTGCTGCCTATGTCTCTCCTCGCCTGTCTAGACCGATCGGCCCCGATGCAGAGAATTACGAAACCACAGAATCGCCAATTAAGATGAGTAGCGATGCTAACCGGGTAGACTACGGCAGTGGCTAACATGCAGCTTGGCTGGATAGATTTAGATTTCATCCCACCGGGCTATGAAAATCAGACGGTCGTTTCTACCTAGTACAAGCCGTTCACTTAGTAGCGAGCCCCTGTTTCGATCGAAAAACAGGCCGGTGTTTGGTTATGGTCCGGGGACTGGATCGCAACACATAGTAGTCACCCAACAACACTGTACCATTGAGGCACGTGCCCTTTGGCCGGATTGGAGTTTCAAAGGGGCACGTCCAGCAGCCCAGCAGCCCAGCAGCCCAGTGTCCCAATCGAGAATGTGACTGTCCCTGATGCCGACTTTGCATGTTCGTGAGATGGTATACATATCAAAGGTTCACCTGCAACTTCCACAGGGCGTGCATCAGCCCTGCAGCGAGATGGAGGATAGTCATTCAGCCACCGCCGAGTAGGTCAATAACTCTATCAGTACTACGTAGGTCCCTGCATCAGCCTTCTACGATCTTAGCTTCGCTGGGCCTAATTCCTCCAATCGGCCCCGGCTGTTGCGTATGCTTAGCATAGCACCCGAGGTGCCCAGGAAGCCATTGTTGATTCCTCATTTTGTAAGTGTTAAAATCATAATCTAGCTTTCGACAAAAGAAATCCAGGTCTCTTCATTTATCCCCCGTCAGGTACGGAGCAAGCAGGAATAAGCCTTTCCTTGGAGTGCTCTTTCCATTGATCAATTATGGGGTTCTCAAACACAGCAATATATACCGCAGTCCAAACCATCAAAGCGGTTACTTGCGGCGTACGTAAACGCAGTACTGTAAGGCTTCAGCAAGACAAAAGTCTCCGTAAAATCCCACAATCCATAGAAATAGGTATAATGCCCCTTTCAAATGCATCCAGCCACTCTAGGAGACCCCCCGAAAAGTGTGCTGAAACACCTACCTTTCTCAGCACTTGTCGTGCCCGGATGCATATACAGATCCATGTTATGGCCTGATGCACCGACAGACGGGTAAGGACGAGAAAGTAGACTTTATGGTCGTGGCATATGGATTCCTTTCTCGTACTTCTACTCGTGAAATTTGCCTTATGGAGTACTTACTGGGTTTCAAGTGAACAATTAAGTTTTGGTATGATTGACCAAGGAGTATCCGCACCCCAAATTAGATACACATGCTCAGAACATGAACGAAAACCAGACGCCACCCTCCCATTGCAAGCGATTAACACAGATCGCACCTATCCGAAAAGCTATCTAGTCCGTTGCATCATGTTTCTCATCAACTAGTCGCCCTTATATGGCGCTCAGGGCAGAGCTCCGGCGGCGCGTCGGATACTGCGTCGCGGACCATCGCCCAGGACATTGACCGCGCCCTCCGTCTCCAAGGCACGGACAGCATCGTTGAATTGGGCGTTATCTACGCCGGCACTGCTCTGCTCGTTCAGAACACGGTAGACATCGGCCCAGCGGGCGCCGCCAGTGGATCCGGCCAGCTCATCGACCACGGCGAGCACGCCACGCTTGATCGCCTCGCGATTGCGTCTCTCGCTGGCGCTGGTGCCTTCGGTCAGAAGACCCATGTCAATGAGGCCGGTGCGGGCGTCCGTCGCGGCTTGCTTGATGGCCGACCGGATCAAACGCACGGCTTCCTCCACATCGTCCGCCGTTACCTCAGTCGCCAGGCGCATACGTGCGTGAGCCTCAGAGAGACGAATCATCGATTCAAGTTGACGGGTGGTGGCTGTGATACGGCGGTCTGCCGATCGAATGTCGTCGCCCAATTTGCGCATGTTGACATATGCGTCGGAGAGCGCTTTGCCCGCAGCTGGGGTGAGCACTGGGTGCACCCGAGTTTTGGCGTAGGTGATGTAGGCCGTCAAGAATTCCACCGGCTGCGAGTTGCATTGTTAGAAATATTTCGAAAAAGAAGTGGGCTTCAACTTACCAAGATTTCTTCGTTGCTTGCATTCTCCGGCTTATCTTCCAGGTACATGTTCACCAAGTGCTTGGCCAGCCGGCGGTCTTCTTGCTCATCGGTCCGATCCAGAACAAGATACACCAGGTCAAATCGAGAAAGGAGAGTGGGGGGCAAGTCGATGTTCTGGGGAACGGGGAGATTGGGATTATAGCGACTGCCGATCGGGTTGGCCGAAGCCAGAATACTGGTACGAGCATTGAGGGTGGTAATGATACCAGCTTTGGCAACTGAGACGGTTTGCTGCTCCATCACTTCGTGTAGAACTGACCGCGTCGATTCGTTCATCTTATCAAACTCGTCGATGCAGCAAATACCACCGTCAGAGAGGACCAAAGCACCGGACTCAAGGACCATCTGGCGGGTCTCGGGATCACGAGTCACATAAGCTGTAAGACCGACAGCCGAGGAACCTTTGCCGCTGGTATAGACACCGCGTGGGGCGATCTTGTGGACATAACGAAGAAGCTGTGATTTGGAAGTGGAGGGATCACCGCAGAGCAAGACATTGATGTCGCCACGGTAGCGAGGGTTACCTCCCTTTTCGAAAGTCTTGTTAGTGCCTCCAAACATCTGGAGCAGGATGCCCTTCTTAACATCATCCATCTCGTAGACACTTGGTGCCAGGGAGCGTGAGAGCAGCTCGTAGATGTCGGGCCGGGTGGCAGTTCGCTTGATCTTCTCCTCCTCTTCAGCTGTGATCTTGCGCACCTGCTCAGAGTCACCAGCAGCCTGCTCCGAAAGCTCTTGCTCAACAGTGGAAGCATCAATACCCAGCTTCTTGCGATCAGTTTTCTGCACGTGCAAGACGTCCACATAGGTCTTGAAAAGAGTCTTCTGGGTCCGCTGGCGAGGGTTTACGCGCACAGGATTGCACCGGAAGATACCAGTAACCTCAACACGGTCACCAGCTTTGCAGACATCGACCAGCTCGTCGTACACGCACAGGGAGACGGAGTGGGGTGTTTGTCCATCAGGGATACTGTCGGGAGTTTCTTGGAGTTTAATCACCTGCTTGTCCGCAAAGGCACAGCGGTTATGAACAAGCTGCATGGAATTCTTGGCCTTGCAAATAGGGCGGGGACATTCTGCGGGCTCTGCAATCCTGCCACGATCGATATCGACCTGAACACTATGGTTGCAAATCTGACAGCGGAAGAAAGCTATGCAGATATATTAGAAGGTTTGGTACGACCAACAAAAAGGAGGCAGCTTACCCTCTTTCATGTCGGGGATGATAGGGGTGGTTCTGATGACCAGACCCTTGATGCTGATTAATTTATCCATGTCTGCGTCATGTTAGTATAGGGGAACACAGGTACGAAAAGACGAATAGCACATACCAGCAGGGTCAAGATCTCTCATGTTCACTGCAGAGTCAAGGCCAAAAGGCATGACCTTGTACGAGTTCGATTCGACTTCCTGGACAAGGTCTTGGATTTCGGCCTGTGGGGCCCGGCCAGCATCGCTCATGAGCGCATCAGAGCTTGGAACCGCAGGTGCGGAGCTCAAATCCCTTGACTGATTCTGACGGTGCCGGCTGCTACTCCGTTGGCGCTGCATCTCCTTACCTGCAAGCTCAACCATGACATCCTTGACAGTTTGATCCATCAGAGGAATAATTTCCTGCGGATATGCGTGCAATTGGTGCCAGAGCTTCAGCGTCGAGGGGTATGCTTTGAGATTCTTCACATCCAGGTTGAGATTGGTGACACCGAGTTGACGCATTGTATTCAGCATGGCAATGTATTCCCTCTCTTCAGCAGCCTTGCCCATCGTCCGAGTTTCATTTTCGGAGGCACCTTCCGCCCAGAGACGGTATTTCGTAGCGAAATTGTAAATGAAGTTCTTGAAGGCGGACATCGAGTCTTGGATGGAGATGTTGGTTCCCCAAATTACACGAGTGGAGCTGCCACCAAGAGCCTCCGCTTCGGAGGTGTCTGGATGAATGTTGGAAAAGGTCGCATCAGAGCGCGGCTCGGCATCGGCGGTGGGCACACCATTGGCGTCGACAAAGATTCTGCGGCGGCGACTTGGGGTCGATCCAAAGCCGCCCGAATGAAGGTCATTGCGACGAGAAACTCCACGATTGCCATCTGTGACTGATCTAGACGATACGAAAAGACCGCTGCTACTGCTGGGGATATCCGACCGCTCTGCCCGACGACCGAGAGAACGGGTCGGGCTGGAGCTAGAGACGTAACGGATGGGAGATGAATCTGTTCTGATTGTCAGCAGACCGCAAGACGCCTAGGATGAATTGTGACAAGTAGTACCTCTGATGGTAGCAGCGTTTCCTCGAGGCGTGGTTTCAACATCCTCCATTGTCGAAGATGCCCGGACAGGTGAGCTAGGCTCTTCCATACCGAGATCGGGCGTCTCTGCGCTGCTGTTTGCCTTCATTGGAGATGACTGAAAGAACATTGGCGACGACGATGGAACGGGGCCTTCACCCCGTACCCGCCTCGAGGCACGGGGAGTGGTCTGCGACTGATCATCTGTGGGAGGAGGGCTGCTGGTCTGAAGTTGTTGTTGTGATCTGGTAGAGCGGGTAGAGCGGGCAGGAGAGGAGATTGTCGAATCTCTGGCCGAGCGACCTCTGCGACGATTAGGCGCTGGAGAAGACATGATGATGTCTGGTCCTGTGAAGTGGTATTTTTATCAATGAAAGGACTGACAGTCGGGAGGGGAAGTGTGGACAAAATGGAGACAAGTGCAAAACGGAATAGTGGAGGAGGGAGGATGTTGGTTGCTACGGCAGAGTCAGTAACAATTTCCAGGTGGGCCTTTGCGGAAGGAGAAAATGATTTCGCTCTGGCCTGCGCTTCTTTTCCGCCTCGGGGGGGAAGGCGGACGCGCTTCGACGCGACCACCGCGTAAAGAGGTTTCTTTTTTGGGCCTGCGCGCCGGAAGACTTCTGGTGAGCCACATGACCTTAGTCATGGGTGGCTGGTGCCCCTGGAGAATTAGGGCTGAGGTGCACCGCCACATTAGTCCCATGCCCCTTGCTGTTTTCAGTAAGGTCAGGGATCTGCCTAGTGTCGTGCCCCTCCGGGTCGCCCTGGCGGGATAAAGACACTTCCCTTTGAGGTAAACATCAACACACACCTTGAATGAACAATGAGCCTACATTGAGTGTAATGATTGTGCACAAAGCCTGTAGACATTGCTTGACTGCTATTTCTGTCCACTACTGATTTGTGTCAATTACGCGCCTGCGACACTGTTCATCCATATGGTTCAATGCAAGCAACACACTGGTAAGCCCTCTCTCTGCAAGCGAACAGTGACGTGGTGGAGCACCAGCCAGGCGCCAGCCAGTTTCAGCAGGCGCTTGATGTCATTTCAAGGTGCGATCTTCTGTGGCCCGCAATCTCCCCCCCCCTCCCCCCTTCCAGTTCCCACCAATCCAGCGGCATTTCTCCTTCTCTTTACCAGTGGCGCATCTTCCCTGTTCGTTTGGGCCGCTGGATCAACACCTGAATGGACAATGGGGTGGTGGTGGGTGCCACTGTTGTCATGCCTGCATCTGCAACACGTTTTTCTGTCTTATTATTGATTCTTTTTTCACCCTTAATGCTACCCTTTTATTACCTACCCTTTTATTAGATCCCACCCCCCCGGATCTCGAAAACCACTGGTACACACCATACACTAACTAGTCTAGGGTCAGGGTGACCAGGTTAACCGAACAGGCTTTCTTTCACCTCCTTCACTCTCATTGACTCGCGATTCTCTAGATCGCCGCTTCTGCGCTGATTGGTCGTCGACTACCGCCGTGTACTGGCATCTTAATTTCGCTGCGGTGACGTTGAACTCTTCCTGCTTGACAATCAACCACTTTAGCTGCATGATGTGCACCTGTTGCATGTCAACTTCACCTGATTATTTACAACTTTTATCTTCTCATCCTCGCCCTGCTTGTGACAACTTTCAAATCTACCAACATCAACTGACCTCTGTGGAAGCGATCGTCGCTTGCTTCAACCATGGGTGATTTGGGGTCGGCGCTGGAGCATGCGGGCGGCACAGGCAAGAACAAGGAAGGCATCTCTATCGGGACTTTTCTTGCATCCCTGGCCACTGCCCTCGTCGTCTTCGCAGTTGAATTTCTCCTCTTCATGCTTCTCAAAGGGAAGCTGACCCGCATCTAGTATGTATACGCAAATCCCGGTACCAGAGCACCGACGGACTAACATTCGAACTCTCCTAGCCAACCGAGAACATACTTGGTACCGGACAGAGAACGTACTCAACCTTCTCCACCAGGACTTTTTCAATGGATTGGTCCTGTCTTTCGTACCTCAAGTTCGGAATTCATACAGAAGTGCGGCCTGGATGCCTACTTCTTCCTACGATACCTGCGCATGCTACTCAAGATCTTTCTGCCCCTGGGCTGCCTTTTACTACCCGTCCTGATACCGCTGAACAAAGTCGGCGGTAAAGATACGAATCTCAAGAATGGGACCGACGAAGGCGGCGGTCGGTGGAATGTCACTGGACTTGATCAATTAGCTTGGGGGAATGTCACCCCAGAACATACTTCGCGATACTGGGCACATTTAGTCATGGCGGTCATTGTTATTTTCTACGTCTGTGCAGTCTTCTTCGATGAACTGAGACACTACATCCGTCTCCGACAGGCGTACCTTACCTCACCCCAGCATCGACTTCGTGCTTCTGCCACCACTGTTCTGGTGACTGCCATTCCAGAAGGCTGGCTCTCGGTGAAAGCGCTAGAAAGATTATACGACGTCTTCCCGGGAGGTATTCGGAATATTTGGATCAATCGTAATTTTGATGATTTGCACGAGAAGGTGAAAGAGCGAGACAAGCTGGCCTTGAAGCTCGAGGGTGCGGAAACCGAGTTAATCATGAACTGCAAGAAGGCCCAGCTCAAACAAGCTAAGGCTGCGGCGAAGAAGGCCGGACTAAACCCGAATTCAGTGGAGACTCAAGAGAGAAAGGCAGCCGCTAGGAAGGCATCGCAGTTAGCCATGGACGCTGGTATTAGCTCCGGAAACCCGCATCAAGCCCAGACGCTGGATCAAGTCCTGCATCGCAATACAGGAGATAGTCTTCAGGCGGAGCCCAAGAAGAAGAAGCTACTCTTCAACCCCTTCGATCCCGCGCTGGAAGCAGCAGGTGCTGTTGGCCAAGGCGTGGAAAAGCTGGGAAAGTCTGTTCTGGGAGGATTTCGGAAATGGGAGCATGGTATCGACGATAAGCTGACCCGAACTGGAGGCTTCGTGCCTGAGAGCAGTGGTGCTGCTTACAATGGCCACGTTGCTCCGCCTGCCAGCCATGCCAGTCGTGAGGACCCCTTATCTTGGTCAGGAGGTATTTATGACGAACCAGAACGACTCCAGGAGAACGAGGCAGATGTGGCGGAGATAAGGCCTGAACTCTCTAGGCCCGAAGCCTCTAGATCCGAATCATCGAGGCCGGGAACCGCTTCTCATCCCAAGCGGCCAGTCTGGAAAAGTCGCGGCTCCGGCAACTCCAAATTCAGCAAGAGAAGCAACACTTCTGAGCCCGATGAACTTCCGTTGACAGCCCCCGAGTCGCCTGTTGAGCGGGCGTCGAGCTCTGAGTCCGACAGAAGCCAGTCATTGAAGGAGAAACATACGGAAGACTCAAAACCCAATGGAAAAGAGGGAGATGAACTGGATGGACATGAATATCCTCTGGCCTACAATGAGGCCTTCGATAATGAAGATTTTGGAGAGCCAGTTTGGAAAAAGTACATTCAACAAAAGAAGCGCCCTACTATGCGGCTACCAATTTTCAGCTGGATGCCATCTCTGTGGCTTATAGGCAAAAAGGTCGACACTATTGACTACTGCCGCAAAGAGCTGGCTCGGCTGAATTTGGAAATTGAGATTGACCAGCAGCATCCCGAGCGATTCCCTCTCATGAATTCCGCGTTCATCCAGTTCAATCATCAGGTAGCGGCTCATATGGCATGTCAGGCAGTCAGCCACCATGTTCCCAAGCAAATGGCGCCTCGCATTGTTGAGATTTCGCCGGACGACGTCATCTGGGATAACATGTCAATGAAATGGTGGGAACGGTATTTGAGGACATTTGGAATCATCGCTCTGGTTTGCGCCATGGTTATAGGATGGGCAATCCCAGTTGCCTTCACTGGTCTCCTCTCGCAGCTGACATACCTCGAAGAAGCTTTCACCTGGCTGTCCTGGATTTCAAAATTACCAGCTTGGGTCATCTCGGCAGTACAGGGTGTCTTACCCGCACTTTTTCTTGCAATTCTTATGGCAATCTTACCTCTTATCCTGCGCTTCCTCAGTCGGACCCAAGGCCTTCACACTGGTATGGCGGTGGAATTAACGGTCCAGGCCTATTACTTTGCGTTCTTATTTGTGCAACTGTTCCTGGTTGTCACCATTTCATCGAGTTTCTCGACCATCATCAGTAACGTGACCGATGTCACTAGCTGGCCAGAACTCCTAGCACAGAACATTCCCTCGTCCAGTAACTACTTCTTCTCATACATGATTCTACAGGCCATGTCTGTGAGCGCGGGAGCATTGGTCCAGATTGTCAATCTGATAAGCTGGTTCATTCTCGCACCGATTTTCGATAAGACAGCCAGGAAGAAGTGGGCGCGTACAACTAACCTGAATCAGATGCAATGGGGCACTTTCTTCCCCGTTTACACCACCCTTGCTTCAATCGGTATGTTTGTCTCAAGCCTGTGCTAAAGCTAGCCACTTACTAACAGATGGTTTCGCAGGTTTGATTTACTGTGTCGTTGCGCCCCTCATTCTGGTCTTTAATGTCATTACATTCGGTCTTTTCTGGTTCGTCTACAGATATAATACTCTTTACGTGACCAAGTTCCGCTTCGACACGGGAGGTTTGCTTTTCCCGCGGGCGGTTAGCCAATTATTCACCGGTCTGTACATTATGGAGCTTGCTCTTATTGGCTTGTTCTTCTTGGTTCGCGACGAGAATGGGGATGTCGCATGCGAAGGTCAAGCGATCATCATGATTGTGGTTTTGATCCTCACCGCAGGGTTCCAGCTACTTCTAAGTGATGCTTTTGGCCCTTTGATCCGTTATCTGCCTATTACTTTGGAGGATGACGCCGTGCGTCGTGATGAAGAATTCGCCCGGGCTCAACGGGCACGATTGGGTTTGCACGAGGACGAAGATTTTGATCATCTGCCAGATGCCGTCGATCATCCGTTAGGCGATCAAGAAGAGGCGCAACGACAACTGGAAGCGAGTTCTCAGAACATCGAGTTGAAGAATCTCGACTCGTCCCCGGAGAGAAGCCACAGCCACCACGGTCTGCACATCCAGAAACCCAAGCTTGGACCTCACCGGGGGTCGTGGGCTGATCGCTCCCCGGACCGCCGATCCAAATTCTATGGAGTTAACTCGGAGATGGCGGTTCCTAGCATTGAGCGACTGCGGGAGAAGATCGCCCTCGACGCCGAAAATCAAGCTCCTCCTGCGCGCAACATGGGTCCGGCTTTGTTCTCCGGCATTCACGACGAGTTGGAGGATCTCACACCGGAGGAGCGTGACCAGCTCACTCAGAGAGCCTTCCAGCACGAGGCTTTACGCGCGAAGCGACCCGTGATCTGGATTCCTCGAGACGACCTGGGCGTTAGTGACGACGAGATTTATCGAACCCAGCGATTCAGCAAACATATCTGGATCAGTAACGAGTACCAAGCACTCGATGGAAAGAGCCACACAATATTTAGCCGCAGTCCGCCCGACTTCTCTGAAGTTGACCTCATTCAGCTGTAGATCATGACCGTCAGGAACGGTTAATCTCATGATGTGATGATTTTTGCTTCTGTGCTCTTCTTCAGCGCTCTGTCTTTTTGTCTTTTTGTTTTTCTTCTTTTTCTTTTTCTTTTTCGTTTTCTCATTTGGAGCTATGTGCATCACTGGGAGGCGTGGCAGCATTTTCCCGCAGCGAGCTCGAAGCAAGTGCACCATACAGGAGCATGCTCATCTTGTATATAGTTAGATCCCTGCCTGTACGACTTTTTAATCTGAGCTTGAAATACACCGCTTATTTCTGAACCACGACCAGCACTGCATTTGTAGAAATTGGGTCATCAAGACAATAATTCATTGCTTCACATAGATATATAGGAATCTAGTCCATGTATCTGCACAGAGGCAGACGATACTTCTCAATAGCCCAGTACGGCCTGCGCACGCCACTCCACTCGCCCTCCAGCGTGGGGACCTCAAACTCCTCCCAGTCGGCATCGAACCCGGCCTCGAGCAGATCGATCTCCACCACCTTCTGGTAGACATCGTAACTGATCTGGCGATCGGCGCCCATGCCGTTGAAGAAGCTCCACTTGCCCTCCTGCTCCAGCAGGCCGATGACCTGCTCGGTGAAGAACTCGCGGAAATCCGCGTACGACTCGGCGAAGGTGTCGTAGTAGATGGCGTCGAACATCTCGCCCTCAGCCACGAGCGCGGGCAGGATCTCCTGCCACCGGCCCTCGTGGATGACGACGCCGGGCCGCTCGTGCCAGCCCTTGCGCTTCATCTCCGCCACGACCTCCGGGTGCGCCTCGACGATATGGTGCGCCGCCGGGTTTTGCGTCTGGAAGAACCCGTCGACGATCCCCATGCCGTGGCCGATGTTGAGCACCCGCAGCCCCGGCGCCGGCAGCAGCGCCTGCGCAGATTTGCGCATGATCTCCGTCTCCCACGCCATCATCACGCCGTTCTGGTCCTGGTCCAGCAGCCGGTCGTGTTGGAAGGTCAGCCCGGAATCGAGGTAGCGGGATTGCGTGACGTCTGGGTTGGTGGTGGTGGGCTCTTCGGTGGTGATGGTGGCAGTAGCTGCTGCGCTGGCATCGACCAACTCCGGTACTGTTTCCTGCTCCTCCGCCTGCACACCCTCACCCTCACCCTCATCCTCCTGCATCTCCTCATCCTCCTCATCATCCCCATCAGACAAAGCCTCATACCCAAACCCATCCAACCGTCCCAGCAACAACTCCGCCCGCACCCCAGCATCCACCAGCGCCTCGTACACCTCGCGCAACCCCAACCGCCGCGCAATACACCCCGGCGTCTCCCCGTTATTATCCAAATCATTCCAGATCGCGCCCTCCAACAACAAAAACCGCACCGTCTCCAGCGCGGCCCTCTCTACCTCCTCCGTGCTGGTGGTGGGCGTGGCATGGTCCGCTGCTCCGTTCACAGCGGGTTGCGAATCCTCCTCCTCGTCCGGCTCGCAGGCGGCCACGGCGGAGTGGAGCGGCGTGAGTCCCGTCTCCGGGTCGCGGGCGTTGACCGGGTTGGCGAGGGCGGGGGATGGGTTGGTGCGGATCAGGCGGCGGAGTTGGGCCAGGTCGTGCTGCGAGGCGGCCAGCAGCAGCTCTTGGATGTCGGTGTCGACGTTGATGGTGAGGTCTTCGGGCGTGGGGTCCATTTTTTCTGTGAATTCTATGTCCCCGGTGAGCGTTCTGTTTGAGATTTTGGGAGGGGAGGTGTTAGAGGATGGGTGGTTGTGACAAAGGAGGAGAGAGGGAGGGTTATGGGCGAGGTATAGTAATGCCCAGTGCAGGCGGGGTTGGATGGAATTGCCTTGGGGGTATGGGTTCTGCGAAGGGAGAGAGCTTACGTTTTTGTGATTCTAGGGGAGGTATTTCTCGATGGAAGAGAATTGTTGCCAGGTCTTCGATTAGAGACCTCTGTTGTTGCGGGGAAGAAATATTGATGAGGAGAAAAGTTTCAAGCTGCGATCTGAAAAAAAATCCGCCCGCCGCTTTCGTTCCCCGCTGACGATCCCGCGGCGGGCACGATTCGATAAGAAATGCTACTCAAAAGACTTGTTTGCCCTAGGAGAGACAGACACTGTAGTCCATGCGGAACACGATGAAAAGAGAAGAGAAACTGTTCGCCTGGTTGCTCTGAGAATCCTGCAAATAACTGACTATTTGTACAAAAAACGTCCCCCCTCCATCTCCTTGGTCGCGCGCAACCTAGAATAGCGCCAAGGCCCTCGTTATAAGAAACAAACCCATTAGAGTTAAACAAATCCGATCGATCGCCTACCACCGGTCCATGCATCCCTGGCCCTTACTGCTTATCCTCCCCGCCTGCATTCACGTTCAGACCCAGACCCTGCGAGTCCAGGTACAACTTGTTCTTGCCGCTGTGCTCACCCAGGATCTGAGCGATGTGTCGGGCGTTCTCAATCTTACGCAGCTCAATGTAGCTCTTGCTCTTCTTGATGGCATCACCGATCAGCTCAGCGGAGCGGGCCTCACCCTGAGCGCGGACGATGAAGGCTTGCTTCTCTTGACGAGCCTTGTCAACCAGGAACGCAGCCCGCTGAGCTTCCTGCTGGGCAACTTGCTTGGCCTCGACGGCGGCGGTGAATTCGGGGGAGAAGGTAAGGTGCTGCAGTAGAGAAAAGCATTAGAGGGAGAAATTGAAGTAAAAAATGGCATATGACGTACCGTTAGGGAGACATCGTCCAGGGCGATGTTGAAGCGAGCAGCCCGACGGGCAAGGTTATCCCGGACAAGACGGGCAACGTTCTCACGCTGAGTGATAAGCTGACTGGCGTTGAACTGGGCCACCACACTCTTCAACACCTCGTTGACAATGGACGGCAACACCCGCTCATCGAAGTCTTGGCCGAGAGTACGGTATATTTGAGGAAGAGCATCCACGCGGGGTCTGGACAGGACACGGCAGGTGATGTTCACCATCTGCAAGTCCTTGGTACCGGTAAGGGAAGCGATGTTGCGCGGCTTTGCGCGCACGTCATAGACAATCGGAGTCTCGACCCAGGGGATCCGGAAGTGAGTTCCTAGTTGGAACGAGTCCTATCAGCGGATGAAACCGGGATAGTAGCTTCAAGAACGAGACGCACCTTCAGTGTAGATCTCCTTCTGCACACCACCGAAGCGGGAATACTTGATAGCACGGTGACCACCGTCAACTAGAGTACCCATCCCGTTAGCTCAAACAGCTTCCACAAAGCTACCCGATTGAATTGCAGGCATTCTCACCATTAAACAGACAGTCAGAGGCCAGGAAGATAGCTCCAACACCGACAAGCAGGGCGCCAGCAGCTCCGAAGCCGCGTCCACCGCCGCCGCCAAATCTCTTGAGTTGAGAACCGCCGCGGTTCTGCAGGAGGACCTGAAGTCTCTCCCACTGCTCCCTAGGATTCTGAGACATAGTGAAAGATGAAAAGATGAGGGTGAATGTGGTAGGAGCGAAGCGGAGGGGAAAAGAGAAGCCAACGAGTAAAGAGGCACAGGATGGAGGGAAGTGGAAGTTCGCGGCAAATCGCCCGATTCTGACACCGCCTTGGCAGTTTTCCGTACAACATCATCTTTCCCGCTTTCATTGTTTCGCGCTTTTTCCCACTGATCGATTGCCTGTTAAGAGCTTCACCAAATATCGCAACCATGGCCCCGCAAAGAAATAACGGGACGAGTATCTTCCTGGGGAATATCCCCTACAGTATGTGCTCTGCCCCCTCCACCATGTCACCGAAGACACACAAATGCCAGCAGCTCAGCTCCCTCTGACCCAAACCATTGTCCCCCGTCGAACATCTGCTGACCCGAACACCTTTCACAACCTCTCCAGACCTCACTGAGGAACAAATTAGAGACATCCTCGGCACCGCCGGCACAGTTACGAAGTTCCGTCTTATGATCAACCAGGAAACCGGCAAGCCGAAGGGTTATGGATTCGCCGATTACGCCGACGCCGACTCCGCGGCCTCTGCTGTGCGCAACCTGAACGACTACGAGGTCATGGGTCGCAAGATCCGCGTCGACTGGCCCCATAACAACGAGAAGGACTCCGTGCCGCCCGAATACCTCCACCAGAACGCCGGCCCCGCGGGCGCTGCTGCGGGACAACAAGACGGCCTAGGCCTTGGCGGCGCCGGGGGAGCTGGCGGCGCGCAGCCCGCGCATGCGCCGCTGCCTCCTCTGCCCCCGGGTGTGGAGGTGCCGCCGCACCTGGACTGCCCCAACGCCATCTCGCAGACACTCTCCTCCCTCCCTCCCAACCAGCTCCTCGATGTCCTCCAGCAGATGAAGTCCCTGGTCATGGCCGACCCCGCCCGCGCCACGGAGCTTCTCCGCCAGGCGCCCCAGCTCGCCTACGCCATCTTCCAGGCCTTGCTCCTCATGAACCTGGTCGATTACAGCGCCCTCGGCTCGGTTGTGGAACAAGCTGCCGCGCAGACCGCCGCCGCTGCACCGCCGCCCCCGGCCGCCGCCGCCGCTGCAGCGCAAGCTTTCCAGAACTTCCCCGGCCAAGTGTCCACTCCACCGATGGTCTCGGCGCCGTTTGGACAGCAGCAGCCTCCGCAGGCGGCGCCGCAACAGGCAGCCCCGCCAGCCATTCCCGGCCAGGAAGAGCTGCTGCAGCAAGTCCTGAGCATGCCGCAGGCCGCCATCGATGCGTTGCCCCCGATGGAACGCAGCCAGATCCTGCTCCTACGCCAGCAGTTGATGCAGGGTGGGATGCGCTGATGATGACGATGATGACCATAAACCCTGTCTTTTTTTTGTTTCTCGCTCTTCATATTTCGGGCGGCATTGGTGGTACAGTTCTTTGTTTCTTCAGAGAGAGCGTGTTAGTATTCCTTCTTTCCCCCCCCCCCCCCCCCTCTTCTACAACCAACTAATATCAGTTTAAACAGTGATATCGGCAGCAACAGTAGCAGCAGCAGCATCGTCTTGGTTCGCTTTGTGTTTTCGCTTCGATGAGTTCGCAACAGACTGGAATGGCGCAAACGGGGTGTCTTTTTCTCTCGTCCTTATGGGGTCCTGTTTTCTTGGGGGTTTCCACAAAACCATCAGATCTGTACTTTACATATCACTTCTTGCCTCGCGGACACTACCTTTTTTTCATCAAGCGAGTTGTGGCAGATATCCCAAATGTTAAATTGTTTTTCTCGATTCGGTGGTCACTAGACTCATTGCAGAATTGACGTAGTAGCTGGAGGCGAGCACTCTACTCCCTCGTAGAGGACTGAACGCGATTGCTTCACACCTATCCACGAGCCTACAACCTTAACACGGAGAGCCACATCAGAAACAAATCAGTATACAGCAACAGATTCTCCTAGAGAACATGGCAACCCTTGCAGACTGTATGTAACAGCTCTCCTATACTCTTAATCGAACAAGCAAAATTGTATCAAGCGCATGACCAGATCAACCCATGGTCTTCTGTTTCAAGTCTTTTCCCACATTTCCTTGCCGTCAGCACAGCAAATCCATCTGTCAAACCCCACCAACCTCCGCAACAGCCCGCTATCCCCAAAGACCAAAAAGGAACCCTCCAAACACCACAAGATTCCCGTCTTCATGGCGCATACCCAGAGCACCAGAGCAAGAAAAGGCCAACCTCGCAGTGTTCATAACACAGGAACACGAGTCCAGAGATCCAGCTACAGCGCTCCAAACAATCAATATCCTTCCCCAGCCCCCCCAAGAAATTATTATATTTTACAACGAACGCCTAGAAGATCGACGTCAAAGATAGAATCTCAATCTTGCAAAAGAGGTTCTACATCTAAAATCACCGCCTAAACCTCATCTGCCCTCTTTGAAAACCAACGGCAGAAGAGCATATACTTCAAGATTAGGTGCAAAGGACAGATCGAATCCCCTCTCCCCCACCTACTCGCCGACGTTCTTAATTCTGAGATCGTCAATATTCATTGCATCTTTGACAGAGGTATCAGACCGAGGGAAAATCCGCCTGGAAGATAAGAACGCAGGGACTAGATGACGCTTGGGCAATGTCTCAACGGAAGGTCATTTCATGGTGGCAGCCACCTCACCCGGTGTTATGAACATATGTTACCTAGTAGCCTTTTGGACATATCACTCTGGAATGGAAACCAGAATAGTTGCAGACATGGTCAAGGGTCACACTGATCAGTTACCCCCTTTCCCCGGGGTGGCTCAGATCATAGAATACGACAGAAGGGATTCGTCAGAGGCGGAGTCTTCTGCCCATCTCACTTTCCAAGCGAAGAATGGTTTCATGTTCTGGTTACGGGGCCTTGCCTGGTGATCTGTTTCCCAAACCTCCTATCTCGTATACCAGCCTCATCAGCGTAGATGTAGACATCCCAAAGGACAATCATGATACGGTCATCTGTGATTAAGGCTTGATAGAACGAAATATTGTTCCTTTGCACGTAAGACTCAAAAAGATACTAGCATCAAAAAACAAGGCAGTTGCCATTGCTACAACCCATCATATCCACCTTGCACCTGACCCTGGGCTCATCGCAACAGGTTGTAACAGCAGCAACACATTCACCGGGCCACACAACAAACAAAAACCCCCCCCAAAGACCTTCCCCTGAGTTGCAGATTTTCAGTCATCTCATTTCACATTACCTTCCCCACCCATACACATCTCTTTGTCTTTGTTTTTTATACTCTTACTTTCCTTACTCTCCTCTCACCTATCTCCTTCGGCATAAACTTCTTCCAACACCACGTGACTCTTTCGAACCCTCATAAATTCATCTCTCTTTCAAAAGATCCTAAATCACATCACAGAACTGAAATTGGATTGTGCTCTCTCTCACACGGAGGTGACTGTCTCACTTCTTTCCACTAAGAAGAAAAAGAAAGATGCCTTCAGGGAGGAAGAGGACTTCGTCCCAGGAGGAGGGTCCGCCGCCCAAACGATACCAGCTCCTCCTGACAGA